TAAGTTGGACCTCAGGTAAGTTGAAGTAGACGACCTCCTAACCACCATTTTTCGGGAAATTTAAGAAACCTGCAACTTGATAATCGGGTTTTTCCGCAATAATTTTAACGATAATACAGATTAGGAAAATCCACAGATATAAATCAACAACACTTCTAAATGCAGTAAAATAAAAATGTATTTAACATTTATTAAAGTATATTGCACTGCGTATCCTAATTCCCCACCCATAAAACCCTATAACCACGGTTTTCGTTGTAAAACATGCAAGGAGTAGGGATTAATGAGTGGGCCTACATAAACTACTGTTGCCCCGATAGGCGTTATCGCGTTTCTGTACGGCGATGGATTTAACCACCCGTGACTCCATCAGTTCACAAATACCGTCGGTATTCCTGCGGATTGGACTCACATTCTAGATCAAGTTCCAGTATTCAAACATCGCTAAATAGAGCCAAATCGGAGTAACACAAGGGCGTGAGAACATCATGTGCGGTATGCGGGAAAAAAAGTTGGATCCAAACTAGTAGCTCTTTCATCTAACACGGCGACAACCCGCGGCAGTGACGACCTCAGCACCGATTGAAGTTAGAGGGGAATTTTGCGTAGAATCAACTCCCCAGCCTATGCTATACTTACGTTTAGGGTGAAATGGAACCGACAAAAACAGGGGAGACTGCAATGATCATTTCTGGCTTCTTAGTCGTCATCATTCATTCATCATATATTATAGTTTGTTATGCGACTGCCTGCGAGGGCTCCTGATTGAGCTCCAGGGCAAGCATGTTCCGCAACCAGATTGGTGAGCACCCTACCATGCATACTTATGTTGCTCCGGAAAACCTACAGTATGGCGAGTGCTGCGTGAAACATTCCGCAATTTGAAACAGGACTGGTAATCACTCGCGAACCAACATTGAGAAGGGTTGCAATACTGTTTATCATGCAGTCCAATTTCAATTATTTTCAGTCACGCCTGGATGCCGACTCTGGTGATGAGCTTCTTTTTGACCGCTGCGAAAACGTTGATTCTGTAAAATATGACTACTTAAATAGCATGAATTTTTATTATTGATTTTGACTGCCTTTATAAATTCAAATATATTTTATGGAAAGCATGTACGAAAAAAATCTTTCTTGTACTTATTTGATAGGAAAGTACGCCTTCTTTAAATCTTATTCTTAAAGGAAGCGTTTCCTTCGGTTTTTAAAAATGTCTAATTTTGAGTTTTTTTACAACAGTGCGGTGTTCATTCATAATACATCGTATCCGTCAATTTACTAATACTGCCACTGATATATACAGCACGATCCATGTCTATTGCGAAATTTTATGCAACCACTTCCTCAAACGATAGACAAGAACTTACTTTTCCTTAAACAGGATGAAGACAGCATTCAGTTTGTGAAACTTGAATTCAGTTCTAGCAGTCGGTAGGTTTTAAAATCATTCGGCAATTTATAATTTTTTTAAACCGAAGGAGACCCTTCCTTTAAGAATAAAATGTAAAGAAGGCGTAATTTGCTACCAAATAAGTACAAGAAAGATTTTTTTCGTACATGCTTTCTATAAAATATATTTGAATTTATAAAGGCAGTCAAAATCAATGA